CACTTCAGGGCGGTTCGGCCGTTAAAAAACTTCCTCTGTTTTATAGGTGTCGTAATCAGAAATCAGTAAAAAGCTGCGAGGCTCCTTCTAGTTAATATGCTTTCCTGTCCTAATGCAAATAAAAACAAAGGTAAGATCCAGAAAGCAGAAAATCTACTTGACTCACTAAATTGATGAGGGATCTAAGCCTTATCCATTCTAGTATGATCACAAACACTATATACGACTAGACTGAGAACAAGCCGTCCCGCTTTCTTAGACCTTGCCAACTTCAAAATCTAGTTTAACCTTAAACTTCCGTATAATAACCTCCTGGACACAATAATCTTCTAAAAGCAACAAGCAGATCGACGTAAACAAAACAGATCAAATAAAATAACGGTAACTTGGCTTCCCCTTGATGACGGATCGATGTCTCCGCATACTTACGTTTTTTAATGAAGCTAACATGTGATCCGGATGAGCAAAGAAATGATTGACATAGGCAAACCAAAATTACTTTGCAACATACTTCAGATGAGGATTCGAATGAGGACAAGGCAATCCAAAAAATAGTTTATTAATAACCATGCTTATGCATGTACACTGAACTCGAAAAAATTTCAGCTGGGAAATGTTTAATTTCAAACTTTCTATAAGAAAGGCTTAGGTAAAAGAGAGCTTTCTGTGATGATGCTAGTAAGGCAGGAGGCAAGTAAAAATCATGGCTAAGTAGACACAAAACCTTTCAAAAAAGATGAATTTTACAGAAAACTATCACTCTACGCAGAACAGCGCGACAGCTTACATTCGCATCATGATCGTAAAGGATGAAAAATGTACATATGAAGACTGTCAAAGAGACTTAGTCATGAATCAAACATCACTCTATGTACATAATATACACGCCCAAAGTGGGAAGTGGATATTTACAGAGGTAAAGAGTGACTTAGACACCGAAGAAAGTCAAAGGCAACAGTGTCTGTTTGTTCAACAGAGTCCATTAATATGCTGTTGTTGGCGAGCATTCTTACTTCGTGATGGCTGGGTTATTTCTAATTCGTCTTCCGAGCGTCTTTTCTTCCTCATCAAATGTGGCTTACATAACCGGTTGGGAAGATGTTCCTTATGTAGATTAGTAAATGAGGTTAGGCGCTTGTGAGGGTAAGGAACTGAAGTGACTTCATTGGACTTTATCCCGTATGTATGGGGAGATGGCGCAGAGGAGCGAATCTGTAATGAGCTGGATTGGGGCTGGTTGTCAGAAAGACCATTTCTAGAAGTAATATTGTCCATTGAACGATATTGTGGAGTTTTAGAAGAATGAGCTTCTTGAGCAGATTTGATAACGGTCTGAATTGAATTCACATCTCGGGGATTCGTAACTAATTGTGTCTCAGGTAGCTCTGAAAGTGAAACGCCTGTTCGCAAATACTTTAAATTTGGCTCTGAATGTGAAGGACTAGGATTTGTCAAGTAATTCCCAGTAACTGCATTGAAGATCACTTGGCGATCACGAAGAAGCGACCGCCATCGGCGAAACAAACTGAAAAGACAAAATCTGCGAAACCGAAGGGCTTCTGCCATTAAATAGGATAATACAGCTCGACGCTGAGACATCGGCCCAGTTAGTTTGCAAAGGTGATCAAACAGCACGGTGCCGTCTGAAAGAAAATAAAAAAGTTTGCGAATTCACACAATAAGCTTTTTAATGATCCGTCAATGAGTAATATAGGAACCCAAGTTTAACATGGGAATGCATCGATTTATATTGAGGCAAATTTCAAGTAAGCACCGTTTAATTTTTTCCGAAACAAAAGCAAATGTATTTAGTCATTATCACCGTCAAAAAAATTACTATCAAACAGGAATATCGTACCAAGCCAAAAATATTTATATATTAATCGAAAGCGTAAACATAGTAAACAAAAACAGCACAATGGGATCAGAAAATCATGTAGTACAGTGAATGGGGACTTACCAATTATAGGCTGACGAATAAGTTGAACGAGAAATAGAAGGTAATCACGATTGGCAATGAAAGCATTGCTAGCAGAAATCTTGTCTTCTTTGCGAAGTTGATTTAGGTGTGGAGGCTCGAGTGCAGGGATCATTTCAGTAGCATTCGTAAGAGAGGTAGGCACATCATTCTGAGTTGGCGTATGTTTTACCAGCTTGGAAGATACAGATAGTGCATGCAGAGCCGCTTTGCAGATTAAATCCCCTTCCGGTCTATCATCATTCCTTCTTGGAGAACTAGCTGGGGAGCTTTGTGGAGAAAAGCTTCGCCAGTTGCGATGAGTTATGTGGGATGGAATAGGACCTAAATTCAAACATAATCATTTGACTTGATGGTGAATTGTAAAAAAATACTATAACACAAGGCGTAGAGCCCTTGCATAACCAAATTTTCAGTTAACTTAAAATTTGATAACAAATAAATTCTCGAAAGTGAAATAATAATGTGCTAATTAAACAGTCAGCTTAGGTTACGGTAAATAAAATATTACCACTTAATTGTCGAATAACAAGATGCTGGAAAATTGGGTTTACCACCAAAATAACAAATTACGAGACCATCATAAAAGTGTGTCAAAAAAACAGTTAGGAAATTCAAAAAAATGTGTAGGATAAAGACAGAATTTATTTGATTCTATATCATCAATCTGGCAAATATAGAATCGAATAAAAAGATTACCTCTAGTTCGGCCAGTTGGACTTGAAGTAAGAGCTGCATGTCTTCTAATTTCCTCAGCACAAGCCCCAGACGAAGGCAATGCCATTTCATCTACGAAGCCTTCGTCAACAATAAAAGAAGGAGACGTTCCATTACTACTAGAAACGGGGCCACCACCTGTATTCACAGCTCCAACCAAAGGTGAACCCGAATTGGAGGAAGAGCCTGTAGGCGCGTTGTTTGGTGGAGAAAGGAGATTGGGCGGGTTAGTGGAGACTGCTTTTCTTCTGAACGGATTACCGAAAGTATCCGCGCGTTCAGGAGTCGGATTTACCTCACGAAGAGGGGCAGCAACTACAGGTGCAAATTTGTAGTTCAGATAGTCTCCCATTTCAGACATGGGCTGTTGGTGAATTAACTCTCTATCCATCGGCCGACTTCGGCCTTCCAATATCTCAATTAAATTGTGTCTGAGCTTGGGGAGCATCTCACGAAGACAGTGACGCGGAATATCACAAGGTTGTTCATATGGGCGAATATACTTATTTTGGAGCATCTTGGGAAGTACGGCCCGCATTTCCAATAAAGGCCATAAATGGGAAGGAAGGAGTGAAGCAGGCAGCTAAAGGATGAAAATTAATTGCTTAAAGAAAGAAGCAAATGAATGTGAAATATGTTGGTTAGCCTGAAAAACATACTTTAATCGTTGGAAGAGGAGATTGCTGTTCACGCAATTCTGTCATTCGTAATAATCTTTCGTACTCTAATTTGGCAGCATGTTTTGATTTTTGTAAGGTATGTTTTAGTTGGTATGGAATTACGCGATCTATGGCCTCTTTTGTAATAATACTTTGAAAACCAAGTCGTTCAAATGCTTTAGTTAATGGCTATATATTAGAATAAGAATTCCAAAGCTCACCATGTAGTAATAGCGGGGTATATTAGTTAGATAACTAACAAATTGATGGCCCCATGAATCAGTCATTCTCATGCTGTGTGTCTCTGTAAGATCAACTACAAAATGTGGGCATTAAACAAACTTACTAAGGAGCTTCATGATAACTGGATAATTGAATGGAAGTACATATAAGTGAACTGAAGTAAGATCAACAGCGGGTCTGATATATCCAAAAGGGGCATCCCGTTCAAGACCACTATTCGGGACAAAGCACTCAAGCAGTAAATTAGGATCCCTTTGATCAAGAATACACTGAACAAAATGAGATGGCTCAAGTTCATATCTGTCATAAGGAAAGTAGTCTGAAAGTTTAATCTGAGAGCCTTTGTAAAGAGAAAGACTGATAACTGGATGTGCACTCCTTGGGGGCTGAAAAAGCATAAACGAAATTACACAATCATACCAATTTGTTGAGCAATATTTCATCGTCAGGCCAGAAAGACTCTGGTATTGGCCAATTAGAACGAATGGACCCTTTAAGAAGAATCATTTGTTTGCAGTCGCGTGATTTAAAGAGATCTTTGAAGAATCGACTTTCACCTGAAAGATCATATTTAAAAATCATTCTTACAATCTTTTTGACGTGAGAAATGCAAGACAACACCTGGTTGACATTTTTGGACCAAAGTATCCAGACATTGATGCAACGTCCGATTATCGTACACAGAAAAACCTTGGCCTCCTGTTTGCTCAGAAAGGACAGACAATGATGAATTTTGGTCTATATTTAGATATCTGGGCATATCAAATATGCCATCGGCTAGGGACGGATAGCGAATAAATACGGTAAATAATCTGTAGTCCCAACGAAAAGGTTCAGAGGCCAATTCACTACCCGGAAGGTTTGACTTGAGTATGGACGGAGAAACAGTCTAAAATATAGCACAAACCAAGACAAATTACATCATATAGGGTTCCATCTTCAGAAGTCATCTTCAAACCATCTGTAAAGCAAATAATTATTGCCGGCTCAGAGAGTGATGGGAAGTATCCAGTACCGTAGTTCTCGATATCAAGCTGCATCCTATTTAAGTTAAGCAAAAGGAAGCATCGCTGCAGCCCAAGAGCGAGGGTGGTGAGACCCTGAGCCTTAATGTTATCTAGGGCCAAGTGCAAAGCCTGCATATCAACATTCTGTTTCCATCCCGCCATCTAGGAGTTCATCAAAATAAACCACAAGTACCTTAATAAAGTACGGTTCCTCATCTAGTGTTAATACAAAGTACCGGTCAACTCGCGATTTGCCCATTCGAACCTAAGGACTTATATTTATCAGCGAAGGTAAGTACTTTAAAAAATGTCTCAACGGCTGTCTTAGCCACATCTAACAATGTGGTTCCCACATGAGTTCTCTGGTTCATAGAAGCACTATTATCTATTAGAAATACAATTATAGCCATTTCGGTTGAATAAAGAAGAAAGGGAATTAAATCGGGGATGGGGCAAAACGGAAAGGGAGACCCAAGAAATGCAGACACAACCACATCAGGGCAGT